AAACAAAAGACTCTACCATCAGCAAAGTACTTTGACGACCACCATTTGCTACATTTGGTACATATTTATAAAGTTTCAATGCTTCACAGCTCCATAATGTCTGCTCTTGTAGGCAGTCTCTGAAAAAACTATATTTCAGATACCCGGTGAAAAGGATGACCAAACGATTTACGAAAGAACGAAAGATTTGGTTCAAAAAGCTATGAGTTCCGGCGTGCCGATTCTGAATAACAGTCCTGTAAATCAACCACAGTTCCATGTGATTGATGAAAACCTTTGATTTTGAAAATAGATGGCTGTAATGATGGTTTTTTTAGGCTTGTGATGCAGTCACTCAAGAAGATAATAGGATTGCAGCGACAAAAAGCAGTGGGGAAGAAGTAGTGAATGAGGTTTTTGATTTGTTCTCGATGATAATGTTATTTTAATGCACATTCCCAAGCACAGGCGATGAGAACATCCCATAAGCCGAGCTGTTGCAATCGAGTTCAACTAGACAGCCGTACTGAAATTGAGCCGAATACTGATACAATAACAGGTGAAGCTAAGCGATTGTTTCGGACATATGAGGCGGATTTATTAGTCGCTTTAGATATCATTGCGCTCAGAGAGAACTGCTTTTGTACTGCATCTCCAAAGATAGCTCGCTTATTTATTCCCTCTGACAAATAACAAGTTGTGTGCGTAACCTGCTCGCTACAGGAGAAGCTTTGAGATTTCCGAAGTCGACATTTGCAGGGAATCTAAATCAATCTACTCCCTGGGCTTTCAATGGGTGATCACGACTCGGCGTGTAGTTACTGGGTGTTCCCACAAGAAAGTACAACAACACATTTCGAAGCAATCCCCATGTTCGCCTTTCTTTAAACCTGGGCATCTTTACTATTATTAGTCAACTCTTCTGTGCCATACAGGTTTTCAATGGTGGGATCTTTATTCGCCTGACGTTTCGACTAACTCGTCGTTATCGAAGGCCTGAAAGCGTATCGCAACTTTAGAGTGTTACCTATCACGCTTGACGTAGACCAGCTCCTCAACAAGTCACTCACGTCAATTCCACCAATACCGAACAGTTGCTCAAGCTTCGTGACGATAGAGCAACTGAGACAGCCCGGTCAACCACGACCTATTTATACTATCGAGACGTGACGCGTATCAGTCTCACTATCAAAGCTCACACAGAGGGATGTAAGGCAAGAGGTCTCTCGACCAGTTATGTTGATGCACTCATTCTTGTTATTCATGCTCGAATTTCGGTGTATTATCCAGAAGAGTTTTTCTGGCACCAATACTGTCCTCGTGAGCCAAAATCGTGCACTTAACGTCAAAGTCACAACCGGCATGACCTTCCCTTCTGTGCTTCCCAAGCGGTGCAATCGAGCAAGACCTTCGTTTGCTGGCTAAATGTTCTTTCACACGAACGCATAGCTGTCTCCCAGTTTCTCCAATATAGCAAGCATCATAAGTTAAACAGTGAAGCTGGTAAACCACAGCTCTTTGTGCACAGTCTCCTACTTTTCCATACGGGCAGATCACGCAGTTATCCATGATGCAAATCCGGCCATAGAGACGATTTCTAACCAACTGGTGTCTGATGTTTTCTCTCGGTGTGTTCACCAAAAAAACGTCATTGGCTAGATTCGCGCTTTTCAGGCATTGCTGAATAACTGCGCTGAATCGATCTGATATGGATGGTAATTGAAGATACATCTTATCTTCAGTTCCATTTAGAAAAGGCCTTGATCTGCTCTGTGAGCCATGCTGCCGAGTTGTGTATCCATTCAGATTAGCTACTTGGTGTGCTAACCTTCTGGATTCTTCCCGCTCCTCGTTACCGGTGCACACCTCCACAGCGTTCTGTACATGTTCCGTAATACTGCGCGATTAACAGCTTTGGGGTGTGCCGACATTGCATGGACTAGTATGTTCTTGGAGCTTTCTTTCCTGCACCATTTCACACTGTATATTCCACTGTTAACCCTATGTGTTTCGCCTTGTGAGAGAAGCGTTATCGTTGCGGCAAAAAGTGGTACTCACCCAACAGTCCCTCCTGTTTCTGAAACGATGCAAGGCGACTGAAATTCTACCAAAATTCATTCAAAATAAACAGCTTGGATCAGTGTGCGGCCTTCTTGATAAACACCCCAGAATCAAGAATATCTATCGATCGCTGCTCAATGTGGTTACCAGGGAAAAACAACATCTACTGTATTCAATGCTGCTGAAGTGTGAAGCTAAAGAAGAATTTGGTCGCCGCCTTCTATCGGAAGAATCATGGAGAAGGATTGAAGGTGAATCGAAAAGCCTGTGTGATCTTATCCGTTCTGACGCCAAGGCCACGCTCTGCGCCAAATACGATTCCCTGAGGGACGCGCAACGGGTAAGAAACTCTGATAACGATCATTCTTCGTCCAATTTTAACCGATCCGAACAACAAAGCTCGCAACAGCCAAACATCATACCTAAAACAGCAAGAGTCACCGTCGAGTTTGATGATTAATCGGAGCTTTGATGAATAAAAATGGTGATGCACGGGGTTATGCTGTATGGAGTATGACGGACAACACGTAGCCTCGGAAGTGCAGGTGTAGATTTCATTTCGCCTTCTGTAATGAAAGAACCTATGATTCCATGTTCGGAGACAATGAAAAGACCTGACAGCAAATTAGATCAGTATGTTAGATCAGATAGTACATCAGTTGAGAATTTTAGCGACTGCTACCGGTCGGTGTACCTTTTCATGGCCTTCAGCCCAAATGAGAGCTCTGATATGTATTTGATTTCGTTATTCAGTGATACATGGCGATAGCTGCCTTCACTGCTTCATTTTTATCTTTTGCAGATTCCCTGCGTTCGAACTTTTCTGTGGAAGAATCTGTGCTGGTTACAAAATCGCTATATGATTCAGCTGAACCCTTCAATGCTACAATCTCGGAGCCTGCGCCTATATTCCCAAAATGTGAGAAATACAAAACTAAAATAATATTCTCTGAATAGAAGTACCCGTTCGCACATGTCATGTTTTTAATTGCAGCCGGAGCTGATGCACGACGAACATCCCTAGATGCAGCAAATGTATCGATTGAAAGTGTTCCTGTCGTGCTTATTATCGGTATATAGAGCTTTGTTTGTTCTTTTTTCTCGCTCTCAACTCCAAATTATTTCCACGTAATGGCTGTTCGCTGTACATGCGCAAGCCAATTTCATTCTCTATCTCTCTGGGTTCGGCTAATGCTGTCGAAATTATGGTAGCAATAAAACACTGTTCTATACATCGGCTGTCTCACCAAGTCACATAGTAGGTCTATAAGGCATGGAACCTCTAATGCGGCATTGACGTTAAGGGCGCGACCACAATCCAAAGCGAGACTGGTTGACGAAGGAAGTCCATGTTCTCAAATTAAGTAATGACTGATTTCTTGTCGATTCTACAGCTTTCGTAAGCTCTACGTCAATCAAGAATGCCAACCACTTTTGAACTTTCGAATTCAACTATCCTCCGAGAATTTGGTAAGTCATCGTATTTCAGGGGCTCCTGGAGCCAGCAGAGCCGAAATAGCCAAAAGGATTGTTCAGAAATTTTATGGATTCATACTGCTTTCTATGGGAGATTTGCTGAGATCCAACATAGCAGCTCAAGTCGGCGATAAACTGTGGCGGAGTGTAGCACGCCAAGTCGAGCGAGGGGAGCAAGTACCGCTGGTATTTTACTCATTGTTATCACAACTTTATATATTTCCAGAAAAAAAAAGGATCTTTGCAGCAAAATCTACCGTTATTCGTCCTGTTGTTCACATACATCTTAATAGCATATGAGTAGTAATAGTATTTTAGTATTTAATGTATAGTACTTAAGTATACTTTGAGTATAGTACTCAATAGTATTCATATATGAATATGAATAGTAAAGGATAAAAGGACAAAGTTTCAGGCGTTAATCAATCCCGTCTGAGGGATGCGCCCCGGCACTCGACTTCCATTCAGAATCAGAGTGGCGTAATGAGTGCATATGTGGCCTATACAATGACTTGCGGTGGCCAGCCGATGTACAAGTCAGGGCTTTTACCCTTCCAGACGAGTCTGGTACCAATTAACCTACCCCGGAGGGATGGAAAGCTTGGTTGACCCAGGCGATTTTCGATCCGAACCCCTGACCGGGCGTGTGAGATAGTACGCCACTTGCCACAACACCACCTCCGCCCGAATATGAATAGAATGAAATAGTATTCATATGTGAATATGAATAATATGAGGCTAAAATATCACCAGATCACTATCTTTTCGAGTGAATTCCGTTGCACTGTATGTCTTCCAACTGTGCTACAATACCTACCCCAATTATTCAAGAAATCACGAGAAAAAAACGCGATTTTGCGTTTTTTATTTCGTTTTTTTCCTGTAGCTAAGTTGTTTTCACTTCTTTATATGGTATGCTATATGGGTCAACTCAGATTGTCGAGATCTACTAAGTGAACTTGAAAATATGGAAAAGTTTAATTTCGAGTTCCTCGGCCTATCGGTAAATTCTGAGGGTACGCCATTTATAACGACGCTTGCTATAGTTATAGCCAGGAGGCATTGGTTTCTATTGGAAGTAATTAGAGGGTCGTGGAGTAGCTCTTATTTTCAAGAATTAAATGAAAAATACGTCGCCGAGGCAGTCTTGAATAAAGTTTGCACTGACTTTCACATTATTATTACTTCAGCGAAATACACTTCTGTGACTCTTACCTTTGATCTCGCATACGCAATTCTTTTTTGACTCTGCAGCATGTCATTTCCATATTGAACATGAAAATATGTACTGAGTAATCCACGAAGCAGTTTCTTTTTGCTTTACTCCAGCTTCCCCTCCTTCCCCTCTACGCGCGATGAAACTTCAAGGGGTTGGCGGACCTACTGGGCTGTTGTCCGGGGTCGCCCCCGCCCAGCGGCTTGCAATGTTGGCCAGCCATTGCCCTTTCCCTCTTAGATGCCTCTTCATTCCCCTGACCCTTCTTTCCCCCTGTCTGTTTGTTCTGGGACCCATAAGTTGTTTCCTTTTGGCTTTTTTTCCTTCAACCCACTTCCTTTTCCTTTCTTTTTCCTTTTTTCCTTCCTTTTTCCTTGTATAACCCTGAGTAATTATACTAAGAGCTTCTAAGTTTTGTTCGCTGTGTATAATCTATGTTTTATTTATCCTATTGTGTCACTATGTGCCACTCTTATTTATTTAATGTTGTCGCCTTACTCTGTACAATAGTAACGAAATAAATAAAATAAATAAATTAGACAATGGTGTTTCCCAGAGTGCTCTGATACCAATTTTGTTTGAAGCCAATGGATTTACCAATGGATAAACTGTGCATGCGCCAATTTAAACAACAGCGACTTTTCAAAATGAAGAAAAGCAAATATGACTTGATTCCTGTTTTGAGTAAATGTCAAGCTTGTTCTCCAAGAAAATGCTCCTTTATAGCTTGCAATTGTTGACGTGAGTCTAGAAGAACAAGTTATATAACCCATCAAAACTCAAAACCCGGTATGCGGCATGGTTTTGCAAAGAGCATACATCTCCTTGCTTCTTAAAATTAAACTTCCGATGTTCAAAGAAAAGCTACGCACAACTCCGAAAATAACCGTGCTAAACTCTGTGAATAACAACTAACTGTAAAGAATCGTAACTTGTCCAAAACCTCGGACTTTATATAAGCTCCCGAAATCGCCCGAAGCAGAGGAGACTGAATCATATTTATTTACTCTATATAAACTAAATGGTTAAAATTTGACACAGCTCGAATGTGTGTTTCCAAAAATCTACACAGTGATATGAAAAATGATTCATAAATTTCACTTCGTATTGACACCTTCAGCACAGCTTTTCTACCCTTCGAATTCTCTCCTTCACCCTATTGGTGCTCCAGCTCAGCTGGTCAAGACAGGGTATTGTCTCACGACCTCTGCGGCCCTTACAAAAAGTACCAAAGGACACCTCGATATTAGCCTACCTATTAATTGTGCTGCAGTCGTCAACTGTTTTACAATCTACACATTCCGCTAAATTTACTGATTGATGAGCTTGGAAATGACGAAAATATTCAACATTATCCGAATTGCGTTCCGAATATGAAAATATTCACAAACATGAAAAACTTTCTAAATATACATGTTTGAAGTTTTCAAGCATTAGATGAGAACACCGGTTTTTTAAAATTCAAATACGTATATAGGGCAGATCAAAGGCAAAAACATTGTTCTACATACAATATCACATGCAGTGAGAATATGCTTGTATTTTTGATTACTTGGGTCATCATGCGTCATCTAGGTTTTTTGGAAAAGACTTCTGAATTGGTCAACAGATATATGTAAGATGGAAACAACACAGATCTGAACTAGAAATAGGATCATCACCTCATAAGGTGAAACTTGAAGGTATGAAACAAAAAATTCGGTAGAAACCCCACACCTTGTTTTCCAAAACAAAAGGTCGGCAATTTATTGAAAAGGGCTCCATTTAGTAGCTGCACCCATCTGATTAGAAACGTTAATCTCTAAGAATGTTCGGTTGAAGGTGCACACGCCGCATGTTCAACCAATAATCGGCCTCAGCCAGCCAAGTTGAAGAGCCATTTGGATGGCCGAGATGATGGGAAGGGAAGAAAAGCGGTGCTGAAGATGTGAATTTGAAGTGAAATTCGTGGATCATTTTTCATATCACTGTGTAGATTTTTGGAAATATATATATGTATATATATATATTCGAGCTGTGTCAGTTTTTAAACATTTACTTTATATAGAGTAAATAAATATGATTCAGTCTCCTTTGCTCCGGGCGATATCGGAGCTTCTATGAACTCCGAGGTTCTGGACAAGTTACAATTTTTTACAGTAAATGGTTATTCTTAGAGTTTAGCACGGATATTTTCGGAATTGTGCGTAACTTTTCTTTCAGCGTCGGAATTTTTATTTTGAAAAAACAAGGAAACGTATACTCTTTGCAAAATTAGGCCCCATACCCGGTTTTGGAGGACAATATAACTTGTCCTTTTGAACTCATGCCAACAAAATCAAGCTACAAAGGAGCATCTACTGAAGAACAAGCTTGTCATTTACTCAAAACAGGAATCAACTTGTATTTGCTTTCCTCCATTTTGCAAGTCGCTGTCATTTGAAATTGGCGCATGGCTAAATTGATCCATTTCAAATAGATTGCTATCGAAATGTTCAAGACAAACTGGGGAATGCCATGGTCTAATTTTTATTTGATTTTGAAAATATGAGCTACTTCACAACCCACTGACTACTTCCAACAGAAGCAGATGCCTCGTGGTTATAACTATAGCAGGCGTCACTGTTAATGACGTACCCGCAGGAATTATGACGGAGGACTACAAAATAATTTTTTTTCCTCAAAATTACCAACCTAGTTGCTGGGAAAAATGAAAAAAACGCAAAAACGCATTTTTCGAACTTATTTCAACAATTAGGTTGGGTATTGCACTAATTTGTGCTCAGCCGACGGTTTGCAATGGATTAATCCGCTTGCAACGGACTATTCCTCCGCAAACTGTCGCTTCGTCATGACTTGTGCTAAAATTTCCCAATCAGGTTGAGGGAATAGAAGAAAGCCTTACTTACTGAAAATCAACCATATGATGAATTCTAAGGCTTCTCAGAAGCCATTGCCGGTGCAAGCCATTGCCCACATGTCGAGAATTGAAAAACCCGTTTTGGATCGCCGGCCTGTTCTCTACTGTCGTTACGCAGACAATTGCTTTGTTGCCTGCTCAAGCGAAAGAGAAATGGACACGTGCTTCGAACTGCTAACCAGCCAGGCTGGCAGTGGTTTACACGAGAGAAGCCTAAGGACGGGTGGTAGCCGTTTCTTAACATGCAGATCTAGCTAGAGCGAGGGTTCCTGCGGACAAAACGGTACAGGAAAACCACAAGCAAGAATATTTTAGGCTATTTCAGGTCGGCGCATTCACACAAAAACAAGCGGGCTATCACGGCGAAGTTGGTCAGGACTGCTAACACGGTCTCATCGGGTGATCAGAAACAAGTAGAATCCGTGGAGCTGACTAGGAGAGTGGCTCTCCGATGTGTATCCATTGAGGGACCAGCACTCTGGCAGACCACCCCAGCGAAAACCACACGAGTCAGCAACTGAAAATTCGGAGAATTTGTCTTTTTGCCTTTCTTTCGTAACGAACTCCGTCAGTCTGGATGTGAGAATGGCCTTGCGAAAGTGCGGGCTCGATGATACGGTCCTATTGGTTGGAGCCCCCTTACGAGTCCAAGACTGGCTCTTTGATCATTTCTGCACGACCCCCCACTGTGTGATCTGTCCCAACAGGAGAGGATAGACTGCATGACGTCAGGTGTGATCTACAATACTTGATCACATGCAACCCCTGTGGAGATGAATACATAGGCGAGACCGGAAGACCTCTACTATGCAGAGATAAGGAAGACCTGGATGGCCTGAAGAAATCAAGGCATAGAACGCCTATGAGAAACCATAGAAGGCACCACCACGGGGATGTAGAGTATGGGGTATCAATCAGGATCCTGATGCGGGACCCCACGACTTCAGCGCGAAAGACTTTTTGGATCAGCGCTAAAAATCCAAAAATGAATCGGAAAGATGAATGTGTGGCTGTAATAACCAGCTTGCCCCGTTCCTCGACCTGTGTGGTTCTCGGTTCAGGGCCACCGGCGTTAGACGCAGGGGTCAGGACACTCGGGCCCACCCACTGCGAGTAGCCTATATCCTCAATTTAAAAAAAGCAGGGTCAATGGTCTTTTTTCGACATCTAAGGTGGGTTACCTATTGTG